ACAGCCAGAGTCCACAGCTGAGGACATTGGTGGGAGTGAAAGGAAAAATTGGCCTCAAACATCTGCAGAAGGCAATTTATGCTTGGTTTTCCAAGAAAATGGTGAGCAAAGAAGACTCTGGGATCATAGAATCATGGAATGGTTTGATTGGAAGGGATCTTAAAAACTGTTTCATTCCAAGTCTCTGTCATGAGCAGGGACACTTCCCACTAGTCCAGGTTGCTCCAAACCCTGTCCACCCTGGCCTTGGACACTGCCAGGGATCCAGGGGCAGCCACAGCTTCTCTGGGCAACCTGTGCCAGGGCCTCACCACCCTCTCAGCCAAGAATTCCTTCCCAATATCCCATCTAACCCTGCCCACTATTAGTTTGTCCAAAAAAAAAAAAAAAAAAATGTTTTCTTTCATGTCTGAGCATTTTAAATCCTTGTTTAAATAAAAACACAGGACAGAAAGGGGAAGGTGAGAAGCCCTTTGAAGGACCACCTGGTTCATCACAGCAGTGGGGCTGGATAATCCAGAGGGAATGTGCATTGATCTGGGAGGGAGAAGCTGCAAGAGCTGCAGAGGATGCCCAGCTGTGCAGAAACAGCCAGGGATGTGCCTTGAGGGAGGCAGGTCCAAAATGCCGCATTCCCTGCACATTCCTGTTTGGATTTCTTCAGCAGGGTGAGGCCTGAATGAGTGTCAGGAAGGCAAATGCCTCAGGGTTGGTATTTACCATCTTGGTACCACAGTATTGTCTAGCAACTAGCCTAACCCATGGGGAGACCCTCCAAAATTTTTCCAAATGGATGATGTCTGGCAGTTAGGATGTATTTCCCTGACTATTCCTCACATTTCCTAAGCTCTGCTCTACATTCCTTGCTGCTGTCAGTGGCTGCAGCTCAACTCTCACCGGTGGCTCATGGTTTGCTTTCATATTCACCAGATTTTTCTCCTTCAGGTGTCCCCAGGGATGCCCAGAGATGCTGCCTTGGCTGACAGGGAGCAGTTGGAGGGCAAGATCCCTGTTCTGTCTCCTTGGGAAGAGTCTCCTCATCACTCATGGGTGCCATGGACTGCTTACTCCATTTAGTGCCAACTCCTCGGGAGAGTTACCTTGTTTTGGGGGAAAACGTGGGTGGATGACACAAGACAGATGAAGGAAAAAAATTAAGTCCTTCTGGGGACAAAACTTAATTATTGGTGGCAATTTGCAGGCTCAGAAGCCACGGCACCATATTTAGGCTGCACCAGCCCTTGCTGGATCCAATCTGTTGTGTGACACGTGGCAGATTTGTGTCTCTCTCCTCCTGCTTCGCTCTCCAGCCACTCAGTCCCGAGGATCCTGTGCCTTCCAAGTGTTCCTGCAGCTCAGCACAGGGCTGCTCACAGAGCCCTGGGCACTCCCAAAATATTGGCAGTGCAGGGGGTTGAGAGCTGGAGCTGGGACACCCCAGGTGCCTGCAAGGGTAGTGACGTGTCAAAGACACAATCCAAAGAAATCCAAAGGGGCTTTGGAAATGGAAACCATCATCTTCCTGGGGTTATGTCTGGGCTGATGGTTCAGACTGCCAGGCAATCTGCATCCTGGCCTGCATCCCCAGAAGTGTGGCCAGCAGGTCAAGGGAGGGGATTCTACTCCTCTCCTCTGTTCTGGGAGACCCTCAGTACAGCAAAGAAGTGAGTCCAGAGGAGGCCACAGAGATGCTCCAAGGGCTGGAGCAGCTCTGGAGACAGGCTGGGAAAGCTGGGGGTGTTCAACTGGAAAAGAGAAGGCCCTGGGGAGACCTTACAGCCCCTTTCAGGGCCTAAAGGGGCTCCAAGAGAACTGGAGAGGGACTTTGGACTAGGGATAGAGCGACAGGACAAGGGGGAAAGGCTTCCCACTGCCAGTATCTGCATTTCATCATATCTCCACAAACAAGAACTTATCTGGCAAGACTTGCCAGATATTTCCCAGTCCTCTGCACACAACCTTTTGGAGGACAATGAACTACACAGAACATTTCAGGGTGAGATCTGGTCTTTTTTTTTAATGAAAGGATCAAACTCCACTTCCATCAGACAAGAAGAAACTACTGCAATTGTGAGCGTTCCCCTCCTCCTCTCATCACGGAATGTCTCTGCTCTACTTCCTTTTCCTGTGTGCCAGGCAGCAGTGCAGCCTCCCACAGTCCTCAGTGTGCTCCTCCTTCTCTCCTTTGCCACATGTCCTGGAGCAATACCCTCTGCAGCTCTTTTTGGACTGGCTTTTGGCTGTGGAAAGAAAGACAGACGTGCATCAACACTGACTAATTCAAACCCAACCCAAATCTCCACACAAGACCCACCACCCACAGCTGCATTCCTGGGACAATGTTTTTTCTTATAGAATCACAGAATGGTTTGGGTTGGAAGGGAACTTAAAGATCATCCAGTTCCAACCCCCTGCCATGGGCAGGGACACCTTCCACTATCCCAGGTTGTGTCCAACCTGGCCTTGAACACTTCCTTGAACACTTTCCCCCAAAATTCCTTTATGGTTCACTATTATCCCTCTTTCCTGCTCCACCTTACCTGGTGTGGCCATCAAGGCCATGAGGAAAACAGCAAAGACAACATAGATGATCCTCATGACTGGATATCCCCTGGGATCACAGCAGCTCTAGGATGCAGCCTGGCAGAGAGATCTTGGATCAGCTGCCGAGGAAAAGGCTGGAGACCCTGATATTTATAGACACTTCTTGCCAGGGAGGACAGAGTTAAGGAGGAGCGTGACTTTGCTGGTGTCCCAGGACACATTGTTTGCTGCTTAATGGGATCTTGTGTCACTCCAACCCAGTGGCCATCTGACAATGAGACATCCACCCTGTGCCTGTTTGGCTCTTTGAAGGCATCTCGTGTGGCCTGTGCAGGTCTCTCCCATGGGAACTGGATCTCCTCTCAGTCTGGCTGCCAAAACCTTTGGCACAGACAACTGGGAGCATCAGTCCCTGCTCAGGGGACTTGGTGTTGGGTCATAGGAATGGTTGTGGTGATCACTGTCACAGCAATGACTTGGAGAAGGGTTTTCCTTTCTTTTTCCCTTCCAAAACAGAGATCTGGGAGGACTGGGACCACACCACCCTGTGTGGCAAGATCCAGAGCCCCTACTGGAATCCAAAACGTTGTGGCAATGGACATGAAGGTTGTTATAAAGTTGAAATGCCTTTCCTACAAAAAACCCTCTGGAATTCAGCAGGTGAATCCCAAACCTCTGGGATTCAATCAGTTGCCTCAACACAGACAGCGCCATCCAAGCCCTCCTGAAATTTCCCAAGTTTCTTCCTAGAACAGCCACATCCAAGTGATTTGGAAGCCACTTTCTGCAGATAGGATAAATAGCAACTCAGTTTTAGTCTCTGAGTGCAGGACTTTGTAAACATATATTAATGGAATGTAGGAAAGGGTTATGAATATATTATGAACATACATTAATAGAACGTAGCAAAGCAGAGATGAGCAGAGTGGCAAGTGACTTATGCCTCTACTGCCCACCCAAAATGTCCTTCACAAAAAGTTGGGAAGAATCATAAAAACATGGAATGCTTTGGGTTGGAAGGGACCTTAAAAATCATCTCAATCCAACCCCCTGCCATGGGCAGGGACACCTTCCACTAGCCCACGTTACTGGCAGACAAAAAAGAAGCCCTGGCATTTACCTTTCTATCAGACTGTGATTAATGTGATCCTTCCCTCATTTCTTTCTGCCTTGTGGAGAAATAAAGAAATCCCACAGCACCTCCAGTCCAGGAAGACGCTGAACCCAACACTGTAGGTTGTGTTCCCTGGCGGTGAGGGAGTGTTTGAGACTGAACAATATTGGCACTGCACTCCACCGTTCCCTCTGGAATGGCCTGACACGGCTGGGGCTGCCTGCCCTGGACAGCAAAAGCTGCACAAGCACTTGCTCCAAGCCTGTCCACGTGAAGGGACTGGGAATAAGGGGGTGTTTTTTACATCCAGCTGGACAGCACAGCTCTAAGATGCTGAGCATCTCCCAGTCCCTGTGGATTTGCAGTTGTTCTCTCTGCACTGTATCCACTGCATTGCAAGGTAAAAGCAGGAGGGAAGGAGAGGGGAAGATAAAGCAGAGGATTAAACTGCCCCAAATTTTCCCAATCACCCCTCTAGGCTGTTCTCTGCCTAGAAGGGAAACGATCACTCGGTCCTTGTAGCTCCTCTGGTCTCTGGCTCCCCTACAAATAAAAGGATCCATTAGATAGTTTGGTAATGCCAGAAGTTAACTCACAACAATTTCCTCCTGGACAAAAAGCCTCCAGCAAACCCTCAGGTGGCCACTGGTGGTGGGTGGGATCATTCAGACCCCTCCTCAGGCAAGAGGGAGCAGAGCTGGTTGGAGCCCCCATTCCCTGTTCCCCTGCTGAGGGAGGGAAGGAGAGAATTCAGCACAGGAAGAAGCAGGTGGTGGAGAGGGAGGTATTTTAAGATTCGTTTTCATTTCTCATTTCCCTCCCCTGACTTTGTTTCCCAGTGCTGTGGATTTGCTGAAATTTTCATGGAAGGAGGTTTGTCTTGTGCTCAGGGGAGACATTGCTGAACCACCCCCATCTTTTAAGGCATCTGCAGATCACCTGCCACCTGAAAAAGCAGAAAGGAGCTTAAAGATACCCTGTTGTCTCCAGAGGGTTGTGTTAATGGAGAAGGCAAGAGGGAAAATTACCCCTTTTTCCCAAATCCCCACCCTTCACACCACTGGCAGCTCTGCTGCTCTTTGTCAGTGCATGTTCAGGCTTTTTTTTTTTTTTTGTGCTGATGAGCCTTTGGGCTGGGCTTGGAAAATCTGTTTTAATGCTTTATGTGGGATCACCAGTAACCACACCGCACACACCAAGAGTTACATCTCCCTTTTTTATTTTTTTTTTCCTCTTTTTTAATCATTGAGAGGAGGGGGTGACAGTGGGGTTACACAGTCGGGAATCTGCCCCCAAAGCCTCCATGGTGCCTCCTCTTCCTCAGGTGCTTCCTGCTCAGCTCCTATTTCCCCTTCCACACGGGTGGGATGCAGCAGTAGTTCTTGCAGTCAGCGGAGTAGGACCAGGTGTCCACCTTGGAGCACTGGTTGGAGCAGTAGCCCAGGTTGCCACAGGTCTTCAGGATCTTCCCATAGCCTGTAGGGTGACAGAGGGAGAGTGGTTGGGTCAGGAGAGCGGCCTCTGTGCCCCCATTTCCATGCCCTCCCACCCCCTCCAAGGTGGGTGACAGCGGTCAGCAGGATGAGCCCCTGTTTGTAGGGAGGTCCTGCTCCGTTGTCCCCCACATTAAGGATGCTGCAAAGGGCTTAAAGTTGGCCCCACAGCAGCTTTGCACCAAATATTCACTGTTAAAAGGTTAAGAGCGGGTCAAGGGAAAGGCTTGGCCCAGGTGGGTGAGAAATGATCTCTGAAAGGGGGTTTCTAAAGCCTGTTTGGGAGATCTCAGCCCCAAATCCCATCTTGGTCTTCCTGTACAGGGACCAGAAAGCCTCAGAATCTCAGAAACAGGGATTAGCAGCAAGAGCTATGGCACATCAGTAAATAAAACACAGAGTCATCGAATCATGGAATGGTTTGGATTGGAAGGGACTTTCTGTGAAATGCCATGGGCAGTGACACCTCCCACTATCCCAGGTTGCTCCAAGCCCCGTCCAACCTGGCCTTGGACACTTCCAGGGATGGGGCAGCCACAGCTTTTCTGGGCAACCTATGCCAGGGCCTCCCCACCCTCACAGCCAGGAATCCCTTCCCAATATCCCAACTAAATCTATCCTCTTTCAGCTTAAAGCCATTAAAAACATCCTGGACTGAGCCCTGACAGAGAAACTGAGTTGCCCAGAAGAGCCCCTCTGGCACTATGGAACTCTCTGAGCCCCCAAGGAGAAGTGGCCACATCCAAACTCTTGGAATGGTCTGGCCTGGGCTCCCTCCCAAACTGGATACTGAAGTTTTTAACCTCGATTTCACAGAAATTTCACAGATTATTTCTATACAAATCCCTCTGAAGGTAGTTCTCATTTTATTGTCCCTTGAAAGAAGCCATTAAAGTACCTGGCCAGGTTACAGCAGCCACCTCAGAGGGTAAGAACTATATTTTCAAGAGCCAAAGTTATTTTAGAAGAGTCCCAAAGAACATATAAAGCTCATCTCAGCCCTTCTTACCTGGAGTGGCCAGGGAGACCAGGAGGAAAACAGCGAAGACAAGGTACAGGAATTTCATGGCTGCGGTTGAGCTGGGATCTCAGCAAGGCTGGAGAGAGGAGTTTTGGAGACCTCAGAGGGAGGAGGTGATGTACAGAGAGGCTGCAGCTCCTGGTTTTTATAGAGCCTTTCCCTGGGGATGCTGGGGAGATGGGAATTCATCCAAGTGCTGTTTGGGGCTGGACGTGCAGTGATGGCACTGAGAATTCCCTGTGGGCTGGCAGCCACCTCCTCCCCCCCAGAGGTGGTTACCCAATATCAGATAGGGTTTCAGGACTCCTTGGAACACAAAGGAATAGGGGCTGTCAACAGCAGAGTCCTTAGGATGGGTCAGAGGGACCTGATGGAGATCTCTGAGAGAACAAGATCAGTATCACGGGGATTTCAGGCCTTTCCCAAACTCTGGCAGGGATGCAGCGGGATGCAACAGGGACACGATGCACTGATAACTCTGCCTCCATTGTCCAGGCTGATCACCATGTGGGACTGGTTGGAAAGGACCCATGTTCCCCTCTCTGAGCCATCTCTGAGCCATCTCTGAGCCATCTCTGACAAATCTCCCTGATAGATTCATCAAACGCCACATTCAGTGAAGTCTCTTGGGTTGCCCCCTCTGATGGATGGGCTGGAGCACTGGGGCTGACAGCTCCCAGGAGCCTGGATGAGCCTTGGAGACACTTTGATCGTCATTTTTTTTTCCTCACAAACCCTCCAGACAGTCCTGGGGTTTCAAACAAGAGCTTTTCCAACCCCAGTTCACTGGGCTGTTTAATGGCTTGAGAAACAGCCAGGAAAACAGAGGCAACTGGTGAAGGGACAAGAAGCTGCTGCTGGTGCAGGATTCCTCAATATCCTCAAACTTAAATCTGCAAAGGGCAGCAGGTGAATCTTAAAACACTGAGTAACACGACAGCAAAACATCAAACCCTCAACCAGTGTCGGTTTAAGGTTGAGAATTTGGAAAAACAGGTAATCTCTGCACAAATGGTGGGTCTGAATTACCTAAAGCCGGTTAGGAAGGGGGTTTGGCAGTCCTGCATCAGTCTGTGGGGTGTCACAGTGGTTGTGCTCTGCTCATCTCCCCATCCCTGGTGGCCCCTGGTATGGAAAGAATAGGTTAAAAGAAAGGTGAGGTGAGAAGAAAGGCAGAGGTGAGAACTCGTGTTCACAAAATTAAATATATTGGCACTTGTCAGCTCAGGGGAGAAACACTGAAAGGAGGTGTATTACAAGCTGTAAAGATTTCAGAGGCCTAAGGAGGACAGAACTGCTGTTCTTCAATTTTTATAACCCAAGAAATAGGTGGGATACAAAGGCAAATCATGCATTTATCAAAAAGGTAACCAAAACAAAGTCCTCTTTCACACTGAGCACAGCTGAAACGTGGACCTTGACCAGGAAATTCAAGCAGCTGAAATGTATTGAAAGGACAAATGTATTGAGAAAGCCATTTTGTAAATTAATGTAGCAGGTGCAAATTTAAAAATCAGGTATAAAAACTTCTCGAGGAAGTCAACAAACTTCATTTTACTGGAGTTTTACTGAGTCAGAACACACGTTCTTGGACTCCTTCCCAGGCACCCACCTCTGCCTGCACCAGGCTCTTCCCTGGGGCTTGGCTCAGCTTTATGTTCCTCTCTGTGACAGACTGAGTGCAGAAACTGAGGAAAAGTGAAGGTGAGGGGACTGTGCCCCTCCTCTGCTCCATCACCACTATTTCTAACCATTGCTTGTGAGTGTTTGTCCATTTTTACTTCAGCAGTGGTGTTTCCACACTCCTCCTGTTCAGTCCTTTCTGCTCTACATTCCTGTCACTACAAAGGCTTTCCTATAGCTCAGGTGAGGACCTTCTGCTGTGCCTGCTCACTGACTCCTCATCCTGGCCAGCAAGAGCAGACCATACCCATATCCATATCCATATCCATATCCATATCCATATCCATATCCACATCCATATCCATATCCACATCCATATCCATATCCACATCCATATCCACATCCATATCCAGTGTATGACAACATCAGGATTTAAGGACTGCCATGCTTTCTGTGACTCAGTCTTTTCTGGCAGGTCATACCTTAATCATAGAATCACAGAATCATTTAGGTTGGAAAACATCTCTAAGATCAAGTCCAACAATTAACCCAGCACTGCCAAGGCCACCACTGAGCCAATCCAAGGCCCCAAGTGCCACATCTACATGGCTTTTAAATCCCTCCAGTGATGGGGACTCCACCAGTGCCCTGGACAGCCTGTTCCCCGTGCCTGAACACCATTTGGGTGAATAAATAATCCCTAATATCAAATTTAAATGTGCCCTGGTGCAACTTGAGGCCATTTGCTCTTGTCCCTTGTTTCCTGGGAACTGAGCACGACCTATCCCTGGCTCCACCCTCCTATCAGGGAGTTGCAGAGAGTGAGAAGGTCCCCCCTGAGCCTCCTTTTCTCTAGGCTGAGACCTCCCCTCAGCTCCCTCAGCTGCTCCTGGTGCTCCAGCCCCTTCCCCAGCTCCATTCCCTGCCCTGCACACGCTCCAGCCCCTCAGTGTCTCTCTTGTCTGAGGGGCCCAGAACTGTCCCCAGCCCTGGAGGTGCCCCAGCAGTGCCAGCACAGGTGGGTGGTCACACTTCTTGACCTCTTGCCATTTTCTGAGCTCCCTGGAGCCCCTTCCCTGCTTTCCTGAAGCACATGGATGGATGGATGTGCTTTCCAAGGGCTGTGCCCTGCATGGGTACGTCCTGTGTTTTCTTTGTTTGTACTTGTAGGACAATTGGTGCTGATTTCCCAACACCTTGACACTGCTCTTCGGTGCCTACCTGTGATCTAATGTAGCACAAAGTTTCCCTGCAGAAACTCCGTGTTCTGTGTTCTCCAGCTCATTATCCTTGTCTGTATAGACAAGGTAGCTTTCCCTGTTACTTAATTATATTTCTTTCATTATCTTTTTAGCATGAGAAGATCCTCTGGAACGCTAATCCTGTCCTCTAATGCTTTGCAGTCCTTTTCAGCTTCTTATTTTTGAATTTTTTAGGCATTCTTATTAGACAGCCATGAAAATTATTAGGCAGGATAGCACTGGAATCACGACAGATTTCTGATCAGATGTGGTGTGGCAATTCATTACCTTGGCTTCATTTACACATTTGCCCACATCCCTTTTAATCATCTTCACCCTCCTTTTTGAAAGATTTCGGGCAAAATACCCAAATTGGCCCTGGGGCAAATCAATGGGATGAAAATCAGGCCGAGTGCTGGTCCTGCCCCTGGGTTGGGATGCCCCAGGTGCCAGCACAGGCTGGGGATGAACAGATGGAGCAGCCCTGGGGAGAAGGACTTTGGGTGCTGGTGAGGGAGAGGCTGGACATGCCCTGGTCATGGGCACTCCCAGCCCAGAGACCTCCCATGTCCTGGGCTCATCCCACAGCGTGGGCAGCAGGGGAGAGGGGGGGGATTCTGCCCCTCTGCCCCCTCAGGTGAGACCCCACCTGCAGAGCTGCCTCCAGCCCTGGGGAACAACAGCACAAGGACGTGGAGCTGCTGGAGAGAGTCCAGAGGAGGCCATGGAGATGCTCCCAGGGCTGGAGCCCCTCTGCTCTGGAGCCAGGCTGGGAGAGCTGGGGGTGTTCACCTGGAGAAGAGAAGGATCCAGGGAGATCTGAGAGTCCCTTCCAGTACCTAAAGGAGACTTACAAGAAGGCTGGAGAGGGACTTTTCACAAAGGCATGGAGTGACAGGACAAGGAGGAATGGCCTCAAGATGATGGAGGGCAGGGTTAGATGGGATATTGGGAAGGAATTCTTGTCTGTGGGGGTGAGGAGGCCCTGGCACAGGTTACCCAGAGAAGCTGTGGCTGCCCCTGGATCCCTGGAAGTGTCCAACACCAGGTTGGATGGAGCTTTGACCAGCCTGGGATAGTGGAAGGTGTCCCTGGAATAAGATGGACTTTCAGGTCCCTTCCATCACAGACCATGCTGAGATTCTATTCCATAATTCTCTGAGCTTCACTGCCAGTGCACCAGTCAGAGTTGGATGCACCCTGATGGATCTGATACCCTGGTATTGTCCATTGTGTCTGTGCCTTGCAGAGCTTATCAGACAGTGCCCAGAGCTTATCAGAAAGACTCCCAGACTGAATTCCTGCATGCCTGGGGAGAAGCTCTGCTTCCTGGTGGCTCCAAGTGTCCTGGCAGCCACATCCCAGTAGCCGGATCTGGAGCAGGGAATGGTCCCCACTTCCCCCCTGGAGCACGGACCTGCTGCCAGGTGCCTTTGTGAGTGGGACCAGCAGGTCAGGGTGACACTGAACACACCAGCAAACAAACAGCAACTCTCTGGAGAGGGGTTTGCTCCGGTTTCTCCTCTCTCCTCACCACTTGTTGTGCCTCTATAAAACCCGGGGCCTCCCAGGTCCCCCACCCCGGCCACCTCAGACACACTCCCGAGATCCCCCCTGGCCTCCAGCCATGAGGGTGCTCTGCCTGCTCTTTGCTGTGCTCCTGCTTTTCTCCTTGGCCACCCCAGGTAAGACAGGGACTGGTGGAGGTGCAGAAAGTGGGGTGACCCTGGCAGGTGGCTGTCTCCTCTCCAGCCTCTGTGCCAGGGGATGAGCGAGTTGGTTCATCTCACTCAGCTTTGGCAGTGGGGATCAGGTACCTGCAGGCAGCTCTGGCTGATGACTTCTCCCACCTATCTTTGGGTTTGGGATGAGATGAATGCCGCACTGCAAATCCCATCTCTCCCACTCGTGCATAGAGGAGTGGTTTTTAAGCACCCAGTGGTCCCCCAGCTCAGCGGGGAGAGAAAACCTGTCCTATTCCATGTGAGTCTAAACCCAAAGGTACCTGGTGCCTCAGTGCCCCCTGGGAGCCAACAAGGAAATAAATTTAGGGGCTCTGCGCTCCTCCACCCCCATCATTTCCCCTCTTAACCCCATCTCTCTCTCTGTCCCCCGGCAGGGCAGGGGCAGCCCAAGAGCTCTTGTGACGGGTACTGCTCCTACGTGTGTGGTGGCAAAACCG